TCACAGTCAGAGTAGGCACAAGCCCCTGCAACTGTTGTCTGAATGTGTCAGAAAAGCCTGTCAACCCTAGGTAAAGCTCCTTGTTAGCTGTTTCAGCGGGACGGGTACGAGGCTGACTACTGGGTTAGTGAGGAAGCTCATCGCCTGCCCCCAAGGACAGAGAGCAACAACCAGGGCACGATTTGGGCAGCTGACTTCGTACCAATTTCTCTGTTCTTAGCCTGATACCGCCTCTCTCATTTCTGCTGATTAACAGGCAATACCCTGAAAGAGCCATTCTTTGCCAATAGATGATATTATTTGGTGAATGGTGTTTGCCACTGAATCCTATGAACTTGTTTCAAATCTCATTAATCTGCCTGCAAGGCCTTTAACCTTCCTTCCCAGAAAGCTATGTCTGTGTCAAGAGAGCATCCTTGTCACCAGATCACTCAAGAACTGTGAGAGTGAATATTTACCCCTGCCTTGTAGGCTGAGAAGGTCACTTGCCATTGTTTTATAGGAAAGTAAACAGTACTTCTGGGTTACAGACAAAGCCTTGTTACTCACAGTAGCTATAGCTGTAGCCAGAACATTAGCATTTTCTGTGACAGTTCTCCTAGCCCACATTTCCACTGGGCGATGTATGGATGCTCAGGCAACAGCTGCACCCACCCTGGGATGCCTAAGAGAAGAGTAGCCCGGCATTTAGAAAACGTGAATGATTTGTGATGGGCAGGAAGCACGCCCACCCTGCGCTCCAGACACAGACAGTGTCTCTCTCCTGCAAGGCTGGGAACAAACCTGCAGTTTGCTTCGGAGAGAAATCCTATCCCCAGCTTTCAAATCTGTTTGCTACATAAACACAAATTAAACCATAGTCCAGAAGAAAAGCATCAAATGGCTTTATTTACGAGATGTGCAGAAGTGTGAGAGACTTACCAATGACTGCCCACACTCTGACGTCCTCGGAGAGACTATTTTATGCTCATTCTTATTCTAGGCATTGAGAATACGTGGTGACTAAACCAGACACAATTTTTGCCTTCATGGAATTTACATTTCAGGGGGGGTGGTAGTGGTGATGGGGGTATGTGTTATGTGTGTGTCTGTGTTGGGGGTGAGCGATAAAAAGTAGTTACTGATGATACATGATAATGAGGTAGGGAGGGTATCCATATAGTTAAACAGATCAGTTTCTAAGCCCCTGTCTACCTAGTGGTTCCGGCCACTTGGCATCATGGCACGCACTAGAAAATGCAATTACACACCAAGGGAAGATCTCAGGAATTGCTACCTGAGGAAAAATTTGTGCTTTGAAGACAGAAGTTAGCTGACTGCAGGAAAGGGACTTTATATCTAAAAGCCCTCTCAGGGTATTCATGGTTTGCCAGTTGTACCTAGAAGCTAGGACCAGGCAGAAGAGTTGTTGGATCATAATCCATTTTTACCCGATTATAGAAATGGGCCTGCTAAAGGATGGGGGGAGGTAATTACCTGCACTTAACTGGTAACAGTCGGCTTGCACAACTTAATAAGGCTCCCCTTCAAGGAGACACAAGGAGAGTGAAAGAGAATGAGAAGGAAAGATCCATAATAGCTACAGGATCAATTTCCAGCAACCCTGTCGATCTTGTGGGACTCTCCCTACTGCATTGACTCCCAGAGATCTTAGTGCAGAGACTTGGCGGTAAAGCCTATGGAACCTGGGATACTGTTTTCTAAGCAGGGATTTGGCTGGCTAATGCTAAGGGCAACAGAGTAGAGGCGTAAAGAGGAAAAGGATGAGCAGGAAAAGAGCTCTTTGATCAGCAGTTGGGTGAATCTGAGAATTGGGAAGCTGCGGTCAGAGATGGCCAACTGCAGTTTGTTTTGCACATTTTACTGGCAAAAAGTTCAAATTTCCATAAAAGTAACAAAGTAATATGATGAACTTTCACATACACTCACCACCTAAGTTTCAGAGTTCTTTTGCCTTAGTTTTTCTTTTTAACCCTTTGAAGGATTTCTGTCCAAAGCGCATTGCCCACAATGGGTGTCAGAAAGTCATCGATGTGTGAATGGCTAGTAATGAGATGCAACTCTCTATGGAAGATGCTAGACCTTCCCTGGTGTGGAAGGCAGGATAGTAGCCCCCAATCCCTCTCTTCATCAAGTTTAGAGCAAATAGGACTCTCTTTTGAATGGCTCTCCCAGAAGGTTATTTTCTGACCCCTTTAATCCTTCTGTTCTCTACTCCCAGTGAGGTTGAGGGGACTTGAGCACAATAACACAATAGATTTGTTATGAGAAGTGATCAGCACCAGTCACAGAGAGTCTGATTGCTTTGTAGAAACTAAATCTGAAGAATCGGAGGAGACAAGGTGAACAGTTTTCCTGGCTTTGACATTATGGGACAAAGAATAAGATAAGTCAGAACTCTGGAACAAGGGCAGAGAGTAGGAGCGAGGTAGGGAAGGCAAAGGGACAAAATGAGGGTCCTCTGGCACCCATCGAAATTGGAACTTTCGATGCTCCCCACCACCAATCATGTCTTAGTAACCACTGGGGGCCTGTTGCCTGGCACCGATTCATAAGGGTTGACTATAGCCCAGCGATGATTCAAGTAGACTTCAGAGACCATTTTGGTCTCCTTAGTAGAACAGATGTTTATTTTAGGTGCATCTCCGTACTCAAAATGGTTTGTGATTATGCAGCTTAACATTATCCCTGCTTCCTGTTTCCATGACGCCAAGTCTTTCGCATTACCTTTGCATTGCCTTCTGAAATGTAATACGTCATCTCCTAGGTCAAGTATCCTAGGAGCTCCCATTGAGACAGAAGATCATACCATAGCCTACCATGTGAAGCCCTCGGGCTTGGTGGCCTTGTCTTCTCCTCCTCTCTCGATTTCTGTCACTTCCTCCTTCATACTTGGTATTCCAGCGATATTAAATGGGATGCTGGTTGACATCAACATTACTTATCCCTCAATTTCCCCAGAGTCCACAAAAAGACAACCCAAGTCTCCTATAATGTAGTCTTCTTTGCAAAGACATTTTTGATGCTTGTAGGCAAAACTAGTCATATATCTTCTGTGCTGTTACATATTTTATTTTTTTATTTTACATTGTTCTGAAATTATTTTGGTTGCTTTTTCTAATAAGAGCCATGAGATTTTTGAGGAAAGATGTGTCTTATTCAATTTTATTGCTATGATGCCTGATATTTTTACGGTAAATGGCATTTAGTATTAAACTGAACTTTTGTTCACAGACTATGAGTAATCAAACATTACTCGTTGAAACATGCTCCATATAGACGACAACTCTGATATGTAGATCATTGACTTTATTCTAAAGAAGTTAACACTCTATTTGGTAAAGTAAACATACATGTCAAACAAAATTGAGCCTAACAACCTGAAAGATGCGATGTTACTCTTTGGGGTGAACACTGAACATGGCACGCCACGAAATATTTAGAGAATATCACACTAAAGGAAAATGAAAAGCCCATGAGTTTGTGAAATATGGTGGTACTTCGCTATATCTGAATTATTGTACAAAGAACAAATGTGTTCCTAGGCATTTGTTTTAGAAATAGTGTCTTGAGATAAAAACTCTCAGGACATATATGCTCAGAAACTTTCTTTTTAAAATAATCAGATAGCATTGACTGTGCTGGTTACTTTTATTTACTTTTAACAATATTGCTGCTACATACCACGGTGGTGGCCTTTCTTCCTTTTTAAAATACATCATTACTTACTGTACATGTTTGAACAAATGATCCTACATGAACATCACATATCAGAATAAACTTTACTACAAAAACCACATTAATTATGATTAATTTGGGAACAATCACAGATACATTATTCAAATTTAGATATGCTTAAAACAAGTTGGATTTTATAGTGAAAATAATGGTGCATGTTTAATGGGGTTATTTTTAGTGGATTACTAAGAATGAATTTTGCTAGAGTATCCTTAAATTCTGAAAGAGAAATATATTTTTTCTCACTCGTTTAGCTTTAAAGTCATGATACTCTGGGTAGTTCAGAGAACAAGAGAATTTGCATCACTCAGAAGCTTTTTAGGAATGTAGAATTTCCAGTACATTTCAACATAGTGACTGATTCAGAATCTGTTTTCAGAAAAGATCCCCAGGTAATTCCTCTGCTGATTAAAGTTTGAAAAACATTAAATTAGCCTGAAATAAATGGACCCACCCAATTCAGGTTCACATGTTCTTTATGATGCTTTTTGATATTAAGGAATTTATTTATGATAGAGGAAACAAAACCCATGTTACTGAAAACGTACCATGCCCCATATATTATATTAGACAATAAGACATTTAATCTTTCTAACATGTTCTGAGACAAGGGGCATGTCTACTTCCATCTTTCATGTCTCTGGGTAAATTAAACCCAGTTTCACGAAACCCAGCCTCAGGTTAAATACCTCATGTATCCCACACAGTTGATTCATTCAACAAATGTTGAGTACCCCCTTCCTAAAAGCCCCTGAGTTAGGCCTGGAAATAGAATGAGCATGGTCCCTACCGATATGGAATGTACAGTATATTGTAATTAGACAAACAGGACGAAAATGCAAGGCAGTGTATGTTTTGAAAAGGGAAACTTAAACTTTCAAAAGTTATTTAGGGAAACCTCATATTTGGAAAAAGGATCTAGACTGATTTCCGAGGAGCACATTTTGTAAAATTGACTCTGAAAACAAAACAAAACAAAACAAAACCACAAACCAGGTGCCATGGAGTCTAGTAAGGGGGATCGAGCAGTAGTTGAGGCTGGACCATGGCAGGAATCCTGCAGAATCGTGCAGAACGAGGTGCCAGTGTTGGAACCTAGCCCAGAATGGGAGGAAGCCTTTGGAGGGCTTTGAGCTTAAGTGACAGGCCCTGATCCCCAATTGGAACAGTGCCGCAGTGAGACCCAGCGCGCCCCCGCGGGTGGGTGGGCGATAGGGCCCCTCCCCCGGGCTGCCATTTTCCACCCAAGTCGCCGCCTCCAGCTTCTCAGCTTCACCGTCCGAGGGGGGTGGGAAAGGAGAGATAGGGGCGGGCGAGAGGAAAACACTCTCAAAATATATTGAAAAGAAAACATCACCCTTGGCAGCGAGTGCGCGGGAAGTTCGGCGCGCGAGTTCCGGGTTTCCCGCCCGCCCCGCCGGCCGCACCGGGTGAGCCCCCAGACCCCGCTCCGCGCTGCCTGCCTGCCGCGTCCATCCCCGCGTCCGTCCGTCTGTCCGCTTCCCCATCCCCCATCCGCCTTCCCCGGGCCTCGCTGGATCTGCGGGTCGGAGACTAGCGGAGGCTCCGATCCCCGCAGCCCCCGGATTCCCGGCCGCAGCGCGTATCCCCGGCGCCTGCACAACCCGGTCCCCGGCGGCTCCGGGATCTGGCCGGGCCCCACGCTTCGCGTCCTGGCCGCGGCCTCCAAGGCCACTTGTGGAGCTCCAGTCCCCACGGCTGTAACTCTAAACTAGCCGGAGCGAGGCCTATTTTTACTCGGAAACCAGCCACCGGAGTGTGCGTGCGGAGCGCTGCGGCTGCTGGACTGCGGGCCAGCCCGCCACTTGAGGCTTTTGCGCACCTTGGCCGGGAAGGAACGTCTCCTGCCAGCCACTCTCCGCGGTTTGAAAGTTCTGTCTCAGGTTTCCAGGGAGGGCCTGGTTGGTTGGTTGCCGGGGGCCTTTTGGTGAGCGTATTGCTTGAGCCTGGGGGAGCTGTCCCTGAGCCCCATCTCTCCAGCTCTGAGCTGTGAGCCCAAGGACACCAGGCTGAGTCCGGGCCCAGGTGTGGCTTGGCTACCCTCCTGCAGGAATATCTATCTGTGAGAGCTTCTGGGGCTAGGGTCTCGCAGTTTGGGGGCAACAGCAACATGAGTGTCGATGCCAAGTACCGCCAAGCCTCCCTGTATGTGGGCGACCTCCATGCGGACGTCACCGAGGATATGCTGTTCAGGAAGTTCAACCCCGTGGGGACTGTGCTGTCCATCCGCATCTGCAGGGACCTGGTCACCCGCCGCTCTCTGGGCTATGCCTACGTGAACTTCCTGAACCTGGCCGATGCCCAGAAGGTCCTGGACACCATGAACTTTGAGGTGATACAAGGCAAACCCATCCGGCTCATGTGGTCTCAGCGTGACGCCTACTTAAGGAAATCTGGAATTGGGAACGTGTTCATCAAGAATCTGGACAAATCCATTGATAACAAGATGCTTTACGAACATTTCTCAGCCTTTGGGAAGATCCTGTCCTCCAAGGTGATGAGCGATGAACAGGGATCCAGGGGCTACGCATTTGTGCACTTTCAGAACCAGACGGCCGCAGACAGGGCCATCGAGGAGATGAACGGGGCGCTGCTTAAGAACTGCAGGCTGTTCGTCGGCCCATTCAAAAACCGCAAGGAACGGGAAGCTGAGCTCCAAAATAAAGCCCATGAATTCACCAATGTTTACATCAAAAACTTTGGAGATGACATGGATGATGAGAGACTGAAGGAAGTTTTCAGCCAATACGGCAAAATCGTGAGTGTTAAGGTGATGACCGATTCCAGCGGGAAATCCAAAGGCTTTGGCTTTGTGAGTTTTGATACCCACGAGGCTGCCCAAAGGGCTGTTGAATATATGAACGGGAAGGACATATGCGGACAGATGGTTTTTGTAGGCCGGGCGCAAAAGAAAGCCGAGCGACAGGCCGAGTTAAAGCAAATGTTTGAGCAGGGGAAGCGAGAAAGATATGGGCGGTGCCGTGGGGTGAAGCTCTATATTAAAAACCTCGATGAGAGCATTGATGAAGAACAACTACGGCGGGAATTTTCTTCGTTTGGATCAATCAGCAGAGTCAAGGTAATGGAGGAAGAAGGACGAAGCAAAGGGTTTGGCTTGATCTGCTTCTCCTCTCCAGTGGAGGCCGCTAAAGCGATGGCTGAGATGAATGGTCAGGTCCTGGGCTCCAAGGCGATCAACATCGCCCTGGCCCACCGGGCCTAGGACGGACTTCCTCCGCCAGCCAGTGAATGCAGCAGGTCGGGGAATGAGCAGTCTCCGCCTGCATTGTCCTCAGTCAAGTTTCATTCCCATGTGGTGTCCGCTTAGTAAACTGTGATAAAAGGTTTTGTCTACAAAGCTATTTTTTTTCTTTTGAGGAAAAATAAATGGACCTTAGAAGGTTGGTTTATTTTACAGAGGCACATCTTTTAAAATACTGTATATTTTTCTTATTATGTTGTATTCATAGTGATGGGTATAAAGAGATGCATTTTTATTATACATTTTGAACCAACTGAAGTGAGGTAATGGAGTATATTACATATTTTCCCTTATTTTAATATTATTGGTTAGCTTTATTTTCTTCTATGGGAATATACTCAAGATAGTCGTTTTACCTAAGGATGGCAAAGTAATTTATTTTTGCACACAAATATTCTCTAATTTCTCATTGAGTTTTTATTTTGAGAAACCAAAATTTTAAAGGTGTCTAGTAGAAATCCGATATCTGATTTCATTTTGAATTAGTGTTTAAAATACTAGAAAATAGCTGAACTTCTTTTTTTTTATTTATGTCCTGACATGATTGATTTTCTGATGGCTGAAATTAATGATGGAGATTTTCAGTGTTGCCTACAAACCTGCTTTATGGGATATTTTGCTATTCTTTCTATTGGTTGGCTCTAATTCAGTTGCTTGCTAGTGATCAAAATTGTGACATGAATAGTAAAACCTTAACTTCTACATTCCTTAAGGTAGAAACCTGTATCAATTTAAGCAACAAAAGTTGGCTTGCTGTTAGTTCTCTGCATACCCATATAGCTTAATAGAATGCCTTAAGTTTCTATCAGATACCCTATATTATGAAGTTCATATATAGAGAGCATGGAAATTATGCTGAACAACTGTGTTTAAGTGTCTGTTTTATACTGTTCCATGTAGTAATATTGTCTCAGGGTTCAGAAAAAAGTTGCTTTATTTCGATGAACTCTTGTCTCCCTTTATTAGACCATGAGAGCTATGAAACCCATCGAAGGTCATTTTTAGCCTTGATTGTCATCAGAAGCTCACTAATTAATTTTCTGATAAATTGAACTTAAGTCAGCCTGTTTTCTAGCATAATTTTTATTTTAGTCCCATTTCTATACTTTTTCTTCTTTGTCTGCCTTTCATCTATACCACTTAGCTCATTTTTATACTTTTAAAAAGGGCTTTATTATATTGATTATTGCTACATGCTGTTTGAAACCCACTTTGAAAATAGAGACAAAGTTATTTATTTGCACTTAAATAATTATTTTTAAAATTCTACCTTGCTCATACCAAAGGGGTCTAGAAAATTACTGTTTTACTTTTTTAAGCTGCTTAGCTATTTTCTGTAACCACGTAGTCAAAACTGTTTCATATGTTAGAAGTACAAAGGAAATATTAAAAATTTAGACAGTTCTTTAGCTATGAAAGAATGAGAAACAGCTGTTTATTTTTGTATAAACTATATGTTTAGTAATCACACATTTTCTAAATTAAGTCCTCCCCTAGACAATGAAAAAATCATGGACAATAAAAACAATTATAGCAACATATAATCCTATCATGCAGATAAAGTCTGCTAAAAATTGATTGCCTATCTCCATTTTTTCTATGCATATACACAAAATATAATTTAAGAAAAATAGAATCATTATTTGAAATCACTTTTCTAATTTAACAATATGCGACAGTCAACATTTGTTTCCACAAATAATTGTGTTCTTATAATTTTAAAAACCTTTATTTTTCATTTCATATTTGTACCATAATATAGCAAATTCCTGTTGATAAATGCATGGAATACTAGACTGACCCTTCTGTTTCTTTCCTTCTATCGTAGTCAGCTTTTAGATACCCTTGCATTTGTGTCTGCTCATATATCCATTTATTTTCCTAAGAAAATGTATATCTCATCAGAATTAATGTTTAAAAGAAAAACAATAATTTTAATAAATTATTTCACAATTGCTGTCCAGAAAACTTATGCCACTTACATTCCCGTGATCTGTGTGTTCTTATATACCCTGAAAGCAAGGGACTTCAAGTTGTAGGTCAATTCAACATGATATATAAAACATAATATTTCATGGTTACTTTTACTTTTTTGTTGCTACAAAGCTAAACAGCATTCCTTCTATTTATTGGCCATTCATATGTTCATATTCATGAGCTAATGTTTCATGATCGTAGTCTATTTTTCTGTTGGGGCATATTTTATTTATATGGATTTATTAGATTTTTTTAGATATTAAGAACAGAGTTAAAGACTTTTTTCCTCACTATTCTCACTTCGTTTATAGTTTGGAGGGTCATTGCACAGTTAAATATTTAACTTAAAATGTTCAGTCTTTTTCTTAGATAACTTTGATGCTATGTTTCAAAACACTTTGAACACCTCCAATATCTTTATCCCATACCCATGCAACTCATCTGTACTGTTCTCTGTTACTTTCAGAGTTTCATACTCTCAGCATTTTATAAATAAAACTTTTGTGTAGAGAGTATCTTATCCACAAACTATAGTAAATCTTTTCAAAGTGTCTTGCTTTTCAATATTTACTAACATGTCTCAGTAGATACTGATCTATTGTAAATTTCCATGTGAAATGTACCATATATGATAACTCTAATTCATTGCTTTTACGAATCACTGTGTCGATAGCGTTTACCTCCAAAGCAGAGTTTTTAAGAAAGTGCACCAGGATGGGAAATGTACTGGGTGTGCCAGGCCTTGGCATCTCTTCCTGCATAATCCAGTCTTTCAAAGTGTTCAAATATTTGAACAATATTTCATAGTGCTTACCATGGCCAGGTAGCTCCGTTAGTTAGAGCATCACCCCGATGTGCCAAGTTTGCGGGTCCAATCCTTAGGGCAGATGTAAGAAGCAATCAATGAGTACGAAAATAGGCGGAAGAACAAATCAATCTCTCTGTGTCTCTCTCCCTCTTTCTCCCCAGCTCCCTCACCCCTTCCTTTCTCTGGTAAATGGATTACCAAAATAATGTCAGGGACCTGTGTTCTCTCTTATGGGCACAAGGAATTAATAGGATGAGATATCAGATGTCTAGATGAAGTATAACCATTGTTTTATGGCACAGTAATCTACCATTTAGTAGGAATTGCTTACTTTTAATTATTTAGCTTAAGAAATAATTAAAGTCAGCTTATAAAAATATGTGATACTGTGGATTTTCTTGATTAATTTATTTAAATTTTGCTTATTCTAAATGGTGTGTGTAATAATATCAAGTTTTCCTAGTTGGTAGTAGAGGTTCTTTCTGTCAAAAAATGTGATGTTTGTGTCCAAGTGCCTTGATTACGTGAGAATCGTAGCTTTTCTGATAAGCCTTCCAGTGAAGCTAGTTTACATAGAGATGCCTTGAGCTGCTGCTTCTAATCTTGCCCCCCTCCCCCCACACCCATTGTCAAGTTGTTGCGTAGATGCCAATGCCGGCTTGCATGTACAGCCAAGTCAATAAATGTGCCTTTTGACGTTTTATTTTTAAATGGAAATTTATTGTTGCTAAAAATAAGCTTTATTTAAAGTGGCTTTGAATTTGTATTTTATGTGCTTAATATTTCTGTAAATCCATGTTGAGAAGATCAAATAAAGTCTAATCCTTCCGTGGTAAAGACATGTCTGAAAATGATTTCTATTTATTGACTTTCTAAGTGTTTCTAATTTTTTTAAAGGTCAGGTTTTTTAGGAGCGAGCTGAAAACCACTCGCATTTCTTAAATGATGGTACATATATTGCATGTTGTGTAAGACCTACTCTCATATGAACTAGCATTTCTTTGTTGAGTTGCTAATAATCGTGGAACCATGTCCAAGAACCATTAATATAGATCAAGTTTTCAACTGACATTTTAAAGATGCCTCTGAATTGAATTATTGAGGTAAATTTGTTGAGAATTTCAATTTAGCTTACTTGTATTATAGTTGGAAAATATACTTCCTAATGTAATTTTTATAAAGTAGGTTAAAAAACAGTAGGCGAAAAGAACATTTGAGATCTACGTTCTAAAAGGCAAAACAAATTAAATAGCCTGAGAATAGCTTTGGCTTCTTATGACAAAAACTCCCAACTCACATTAGGAAAGGAAATTTTACCTAAAATATCCAGACTTAACTTATCTCTGGGTGCGGTGCGTGAGGACTTCACTGCTATATCTCCTGGAGTCAGTCTCTCGGTTCTTTGCCTTTCATATCTGAGCTTCGTCTCCGGGCAAATGGCAAGATGGTTACAGAATTTGCCATCACACTGGGACACAGCAGCATCCAGGTGATGCCTTTCCTGGAAAACGTTTAACAACCTTCCCCCTCAGTTTTCACCGCCCATTATGGGTCCAGAGGTGCCACAAGTCTAGTACTGAAGCTGAGAGAGGAGTCAACGCCCCAAGTTCTATGCAGAGCGGGCTTATGATACGAAGAAATGTGTAGACATGGGTGTAAGGATATTCATCCACTAAATTCTGGATACTTCTTTAAAATTATTTCTCTCTAATTTTGAGTTCTAGCATTTAATATTTTTCTTTAACTTTTACTCACAAATAGATTTTACAATTATTTTTCCTCCCTACAAAGAAAGAGTTTTTAACCCTTGAGCCAACCTGGTGATTTTCTTCTATCTCAAGTTGTAGGATCATGTGCAATGAATTCTGCATAAAGTTAAATTAATTTTTGTTTGATAATAGGACTCTAGTTTTTACACATTTATATATTCTATTAGTTCTAAATTATATTTGAAAAGGTCAGGTTCAATTTATTCACCCAAATGGGTTTCCGAAAAAATAATTATCAACAGATTACAAATGGCCAAGAGTGTTCCCAAGTAAATCCATGTTCAGTAAAAAGTTACATGCCTACAAAATGGTTCTGATATCCAAAAAATAACCATTCAGATAAATTAATGGATGCTAATTTTCTCTACTAAAGGATTTATTATTAGGTTCTTTACTACATTTAAATTATAAGAATTAACAAAACTGGACTTAACCCAAAGCATTTCAATATGTTTTTCTGTACTACCCAGAGGTGGTATAACCCTCACACATTTTAACCATATAAATGTATATTTTGAAAATCCATATAAAGAAAATTCTGAATTACAATACATTAGGATTTGCATTGGTTATGTCAGATCATTTGCAGGTTTGCTGAGAAGGAATGTTTATAGCTATACGTTGGTTTTGTCTATGCTCATATCTTATTTTGGAGTTCACAGAATGCTCTTAACTATATTGAAGTTCCCCTGAATGGAACAATTGTATGCATCAAGCAAGGGAAGAAAAGTGGTTCTCTTAGTGGCATTCTTCGCCATAGTAGAGAAAATGTGTCGCTTCTAAGATATATTGGCTGTTTGTACAACGATATTGCATCAGATTTTGGTAACCATTTTATCTTTACATCACCTTAGATACTGCAAATAGTCCCAGTTTGAAGTTCTGCAAATACTAAGAGCTCATTTAAGTTTCAAAGGCTATGTCACTGAAATGGTGCATGAGATTATATATATATATACATATATATATATATAATTTTTGCATAAAGTTAGTATTGGTCACGATTCATTGTGTTGTATGTTTGTGTGTGTGTTTGAATTGGTATTTCTGGTGAGATTTGCTTTTCTCAGGAAACTGTACCTGACAGTCTGCAGTGAATCACAATTTTGATTTACATTCCATTTTATCTTTGTCAGTGTTCCAGTGCCATAACCAAAGCCCTGCGGTCTGACATATTGCCACTTCTAGTTCCTTGAAGTTAAAAGCAGCCTTTAAAGTAGTAATTCCAGCAAAGCTTTCATAATCAAATATGTACTTCAATTTGAATTCAAGCCATTTCTTAGAATTATAACTAGACTATTTTTACACATCATTATTTTACTAAATTACCAAGGGAGGTATTAGAGATGATAATCTACTTATATTCACCACTCTATTCACTAACATTTCATATGTAATACTTATACAAGTGACCTTTATATTGCACAGATTACAATTAGTAAGAAGTGATTGGTGCTCAGGTTATATGGTAATCTTATTTTTATTTACCCAAAATGATTTTGGCAAGCGCAAATTTGATTATATCATTGGTTTAAAAACCTCTTGTGGCCTTCCTTTAATCTTAAAGCCAGACTGTCAGGTATAAATCTGTACCAGACCTAGAAGACTTTGAATTCTTTGGTCCTTGTCTATCTTTTCATTCTTTCTTATGCTATGATTTCCCTTGTTGCTCAACATGCTGGAAATCAAGTATTTCAGCTCCTTTAAAGTGTCAGGCTAATCCCTGCCTCACTCAAAGCTTTAACATTTTATCAGATAGGGTGCTCATAAAATGCTCGGGTAAAAGGATTGAAAGAAATATTCCAAATGGCTTATAAAAACACTTTGAAGTGATTTATTACCAGATTAAAATAAGTAAGAAATCATCTTTTGGTAATGGAGGGGTTTTATTTATTTTTTTTTATTTTTCCCCCCTCACAAGTTTCAAGGAAGTCTCCCTAGAGGATGTTACTAGATGGAGACAGATACACTTTTTGTTGGTGTGTTTGTTTTAAATTAGACCACAG